TAGGATTTGAGGGGGCTTTCTGTGTGGATCGTGTTGGCTTTGGAGGCGGGCTGGCTCTGTTCTGGAGAGATGCGAATGTTGCAAGCCTATTAAGCTACTCCATTAATCACATTGACATGGAGGTAACGATTCCAGGGACATCGGCATGGAGATTTACGTGCTTCTATGGCGAACCGGATAGATCACAGCGCCAAGTTACGTGGGACCTCTTACGCCGGCTGAAAGATCAATCTGCGCTCCCATGGTTAGTAGCGGGAGATTTTAACGATATAGCGTGCTTGTCGGAAAAAAGAGGTGTTCACTCGCATCCTGCAACACTGATTGAAGGTTTTAACGACGTCCTCGGAAACTGTCAACTTCATGACTTGGGTATGATGGGAGGGAATTTTACATGGGTGAAAGGCCGGGGAACGAACGCATGGGTGGAGGAACGACTGGGCAGGGCCGTAGCAACTACAGACTGGTTGGAGTTATATGACCACGCTCAGGTACATAATATTTATATGCGATCGTCGGATCACTGTGCAATTGCCGTAGACGTTGAGACGCGCCCGGTGCGTGCGGCGTTACGAGCATTTAAGTTCGAATCGGCGTGGTTACTGGAGGAGGGGTGTGCGAAAGTTGTTGATGAAGCCTGGCGGATGTCTATTGGGCAGGATTTTCAGGAGAGGCTGGCGGTTTGTGGTGCAAGGATATGGAAATGGGGAGGGGAACATTATCGGCATTTTGGCGCACGAATTAGAACTCTGCGACGCACATTGTCCAGACTCAAGGAGGATCGTACGTCTGATGGGGTAGAGGAATTCAGAGCAGCCGAGGTAGAGCTGGATGCTCTCAGCCAGGCAGAGGAGCTATATTGGAAACAGAGATCGAAACAACTCTGGTTAACACAAGGGGACGCAAATACGAAGTACTTCCATAAAGCAGCTACAATTCGACACAGACGAAACACTCTCACCCGTATCAAAAACCAGACTGGCGATTGGGTGGAGGGCTCGGATCTGCATGCGGAGATATTAAGGTATTATGATACAATTTTCTGTTCCGAGCATAGCACATCGGCTATTTTTGCTAGTGTCAGTCAAACTGTGACGGCCGAGATGAATGCTTGTCTGTTACAACCATTCACTATAATTGATGTAAAGGCCGCTTTATTTGATATGGCCCCTGAGAAAGCGCCGGGTCCAGATGGACTCTCACCGGCTTTCTTTCAACATTTTTGGCCGGTTATAGGCCATGATCTAGCTGTCTTTGTTATTGGTTGTGTCGAGAATAAGGACTTCCCACGGGGACTTAACGAGTCCAATATTGTCTTAATCCCCAAGAAGAAGATCCCGGAGAGGGTCGCGGATTTGCGGCCAATCGCGCTCTGTAACGTGGTTTACAAAGTGCTGGCTAAGATGTTAGCCAACAGATTGAAGAGTTGTTTGGGTCAAGTAGTGTCACAATCGCAGAGTGCGTTTGTTCCCGAGAGACTCCTCACAGACAATATTATAGTGGCTAGTGAAATTGGTCATTATCTTCGTAGGAAAACTAGGGGAGTCATGGGGTGGGCGGCGCTGAAGCTAGACATGGCTAAAGCGTACGACCGCATGGAGTGGTCTTTTTTGGAAGGGATGTTGGGGGCGTTGGGGTTTGATAGGGGCTGGTCTGACTTAATTATGCTGTGTGTTCAAACTGTGAATTATGCTGTGTTGGTCAACGGGGAGGTAGTGGGCCAGGTGTGTCCGTCTTGGGGGATTTGCCAGGGGGACCCGTTGTCACCCTACTTATTTATTCTATGTGCAGAGGGTCTATCAATTCTTCTACAACAGGCGAAGGCTCGTGGGGAGATTCATGGTGTGAGAGTGGCCCGGGGAGCCCCGGCCATTCCTCATTTATTCTTTGCTGACGACAGCTTGCTGTTTTTCAGGGCAACCCAACAGGAAGCTTTACGAATTAAAGGCTGTCTTGACTTGTACTGTTTGGCCTCGGGACAACTGATTAATTATGAAAAGTCAGTCGCAGTTTTCAGTCTAAACATGACACCACAAGTACGAGATGAGGTTAGTGAGTGTTTGGGGGTCCATGTAGCACATGACCTGGGACGATACTTGGGGCTTCCGTCTGTGCTCGGCCGAAATAAAACAGCGATCTTCAAATACATTGAGGAGAATATACGGACCCGTATGGGGTTATGGACGCATAAATTCTTGTCCCGGGCAGGTAAAGAGGTTCTTCTCAAAAGTATCGCGCAAGCTCTACCTATTTTTACAATGTCATCCTTCTTACTTCCCCTACGTGTTTGTGACACTCTAGAGAAGCTGTTTAATCGGTTCTGGTGGGGAGGGGGTGGTACGGGCAGTCGCGGTATTCATTGGCTAAGCTGGTCGCGGATGTGTGAACCAAAGTCAGAGGGTGGGCTTGGCTTCAAGAGACTTCATGAATTTAACTTGGCATTACTGGCCAAGCAGGGCTGGCGATTGTTGATTCATCCAACTTCTTTGGTCAGCCGTTTGCTCAAAGCTAAGTACTACCCCACATCGGATTTTATGGGAGCACATTTGGGCAACAATCCGAGCTTTATCTGGCGAAGCATCATGGCTGGTCAGCAAGTGTTGCGATTAGGCCTTGCAAGACGCATTGGTGATGGTATGGACACAACAATCTGGGGTTGGAATTGGTTGGCAGATTCGACGAATACTCCTCTACACACCCCGAGTACCGAGTACTTGCAGGAGGCTAGAGTTGGAGGCTTAATGGATAATCAAGGGCGGTGGGACCGTGAGGTTATCCGTGATCTGTTTGTAGCGGAGGATGTCCATCGCATACTGGCTACTCCTGTTAACATTCTGCATAAAGATGTCTGGAGGTGGGTGGGAGACAGCAAAGGAAGGTACACAGTTCGGCTTGGTTATCAACTCCTTACAAACAGTACGATGCAGCACGATGCTTATGGAGATTTTCGGGCGTGGAAAAAGTTGTGGGCTTTGCCTATTCCTCCTACCGTGAAGAATTTTCTGTGGCGGTGCGCTAGAGATATATTACCAGTTCGGGAGAATCTGCGACGTAAGAGAGTATGGATAGGGGGTGGGTGTCCTATGTGCAATCATGAAGCGGAGACAGCTCAACATTTGTTCTGTGAGTGTGTATTCGCGAGCACCGTTTGGGAAGCTGTTGATGTGCTGCAAGGGAGACAACTTCTGTCATTCATGGATCATACCATTGGCAACTCACCCACGCTCACGGCTGTTAAATTGGCTGCAGTGTTCTGGACCATCTGGAAGTGCCGGAACGATGTAGTGTGGAACGCGAAAGTTGTATCCACATTGGAGGCTATTAATCGGGCGAGGCAGTCTCAAGTGATCTGGGCGTCCGCCTATTCGAAGGCTCCGAGAGCAACTAGGGTCGCTGAGAATGCTGGGGTCTGGGTTCCGCCAGCCGACGGCACTCTCAAGTGCAACATTGATGCGGCTATTTTCGCAGAGGGGGCGAGCTTTGGCGCTGTTATCCGAGATCACACCGGTGGCTTTGTTGCGGCGAAAAGTGGATGGCTCGGGGGAGTTAATGACCCGTTTCTAGCTGAGGTTATTGCAGCCAAAGAAGCCTTAACTTGGCTTAAAGATCAAGATCGTGCAAACTACGTGTTGGAATCTGATTGTTTAAATTTTTGCAATGCTTTTAATTCCAGTAATGTTGATTTTTCTTATGTAGGGTTAATTATTAAGCAATGTTTGTCGATTGCTAATGATATGGGGACTGTTAAAGTGGTCCATATCAAGAGAACAGTGAATCGTGTGGCTCATGAGCTTGCTCGGGCAACCGTTTCTGAATCTGTCTCGGGAGTGTGGGAGTCTATCCCGCCGGCTTGTATCGTTCATTTATTCAGTCATTAATGAAGTTTTGTGCTTTTGTTTCAATAACAATAATAACAATAACAATAATAACAATAATAATAATAATAATAATAATAATAATAATAATAATAATAATAATAATAATAATAATAATAATAGTTTTTGTACAAGGGCATTTATGTCTTTTAAACATATATTCCTTTAGCGAACTAAACAACAAAATACAATTCCTATTCTATTCCCTATGGAATAGCATTCCTATTCCCTCCAAATTCATTCCGTGAACCAAACGGCCCGTTAATGTATTCATGTTTGGGCCAAATTGTCCCCAACCCGACAGGATTTTGAAGGGATAAATCATGATGACTTAACTGATCAACAGTTGCGCGCAAACAATCCCTATCATTTGAGAGGTTGCTCTCACACAACTTGCTGGTGAGACTCGATCCTTGGTCTCTTGTGACAAATATCAGTCATGAAGACGAATAGGACCCATTCGTCTCTGGCAATGTTCTCTATTTTAAAAAAAAAAAAAACAGAAAAATTAAGAATAACTATTTTATTAAAAATAATTAAAAGAAAATTTAAAAAATACATTAACTAACACATCAGCATATTAATAAATAAACAAGTTATTTTAGGTTAAATTGCATCAATTTGTATTGTTCAGAGACCCAATTGTAATTTTTTTTTAATAATTTGGTGGCCTAGTTTGGTGTGTAGTTATGACATATTTGACTTCGTATAAAATAGTAAATAATAATAAAGAGTAAATTTCAATTTTAATCCTCAACTATTATGGTATTGTCAAATTTCAACAAATTGAGATTATACTTTGTTTTGATTTTGAGATCCCTTCGTCCTAAACAGCAATAGTCATTGAATAAATATACCAAATTTCCAAGTACAGAAAGATTGATGATAAACTGTACGTACGGTTCGAGCTAAAGCCACCATTCAATGAATTTTTTCAGCAGAATCCCCATAGGCGAGATCCGGATTGTGCAGTATATGAAATTACATTATTGACCTTATTGTTAAGGGTAAATTAACAAAAATTTTAACGGAGGATTAATAATGACAATCAAATACAAAATTAAAAGAGTAACACTAAATGTGGCAATAGCACAATAGTCAATGACTGAAAGTAGAGTTTACTCGAATAATAAACAAATCTAATATATATACTAGAGAGATAGAGCACTAAGAGCAGCAGTGGAGGCGGCGGTCGGCAAAACATGCAGTAGGGGAGGCGGCGTGCGGCGGAGCAGGAAGTAAGGGAGGCGACGCGCAACGATGTTTTGGTTAGGCATTGCAGCAGCGGAATTTTGGTTTTTTTTTAAAAAGAAAAAATTTGGTTGTAAAAATACTTTCGATTGTAATATTAGCGATAGATTTGAAAATCTGTCACTAAAATGTTTAAAATAAAACCAACTTTGTAATTTAGTGATGGATTTGAAAATTGATTGCTAAAATGTTAAAAACTTGCTTTGTAAATTTAGTGACGGATTTAAGAAATTGTCGCTAAATTGTTAAAAAAATCATGCTTTATAAATTTAGCGATTCACTAATTCGTCGCTAAAATGTAAAAACAAAAAATCTCACTTGAATATTTAGCGACGGATTCGTAAATCCATCGCTAATCTGTAGCAATTAAAATTATAGAGTCAACCCGCGAAAAATCTGTCACTATTTTTTTGTGTCAAAATTTGCTGTTTAAATTAGCTACGTATTTAACGACGGAAATATTCTATCACAAATCCCTCGACAATCCGTCGATAAATGTTTATTTAACAAAATAAAATAAAATTTATCACTAAGTTATCGCTATTCCGTCGCTAATTCTGCAACAAAATAGCTAAATCCGTCACTATTTCACATTTTTTTTGTAGTGATATTTTTTCTTATACATTTTTTTATGGCGCTTTATTCTATTTTTTTACCCTAATTATATTTGTTTTATATTAAATTTTGATATTTTGTCATAAATATTTTTTAAATCATTGGAAAGAAAATTTATTAGATCCGCTCCTAAATATAATGTATTAACCGACTGGATACAAGGTGAGTTTTACCAACAATGGGAATTTGAAAGTGGATAAAAATTTATTAAAAAAACAAAATAAAAGTTTCACAAGGAATCCTTTAAGAATCTTTCAAATTGTGGTTGGTACGCCACTATTATGAACTTTTATACTATCGAGGTACGAGAATATAAACTTCGTAAATAATAATTATTTTAAAAATATATTTACTATCATATATTATATTCTCATGTCAACATATCACTTACTGATTTTTTTTTTTTAAATGATACTTCTTGGTACCATTTTACTTTTAGTATATGCTATTATTACGTGCAAGTGTGCAACACAATATAAAACTATTTGATATGCCACTACCCACTAGTCTAACCTTTTGCATGAAGTTATGGGGATATGAGAATATAGACTCCACAAACAATAATAATAATAATAATAATAATAATAATAATAATTATTATTATTATTATTATTATTATTATTATTATTATTATTATTATTTTTATAATTATTATTATTATTATTAATTTTAACGAATATTATCATATCACACATAAAAATATAACTTGCTAAAAATTGAAAATAACAAATAGTGCATCTTGATACTATTTTTTTAGTCGAACATTACAAGATAATTTTCGTTAAATTTTATTCTTAGTATTTATTATATTTTTATAATAACATAATAAAAATGTTAGTTAATATAACATATTTTTCTATTTTTTTACTCGTTACTAATGGTATAGCATATTCTAATTTATTTAAAATAAAATATTTGTCACAATTTTTATTTAATTTTTATCTTCAATAAAATCAAACATGTAATGAAAATTTTACTTAAAATTATATTTATAATTTTCTTACAAACAATCCATTGATATGCCACAAGTCAAACCTTTTGAGAATATCGATATACAGAATATTTCACAAAATTATAATAATTTAATTACTATTTACTTGTTCTAGATTCTAGAACTCGACCTAGAAGAGCTTAATCGTGCTTTGCGTATGCTTACACACTAATTCTTGTACTGCAGTGTAGTGTTATAATATTAATTAAATTAATTAGAGAAAGTAAGAAATTAGAATGAGGTGTACGGTATCACGTTTGGCATCATTAGAGGCACACTTTTTCCCTAATGTAACATTAATGTAGAGTATTGTTACCTTCAAAAGAAAAAAAGAAAAAAAGTAGAGTATCCTTTGTATTGAAATAAATATATAAATTTAAATAATGTCTAAAAATTTAATTATATAATGCATTGCATTAAATAATAGCGTGCACTAATATTTTTAAAAGTTGTTTCAGTCTCACAATCACGAAGGCATGTCAAATAAAATCTTTGATACTCACTTATATTCATCATCTATTATTTATGAAATAAAACTAATAATTTTAATTCACATGGATTGAACATGGGTTAGCAATAGTGGTGGACACATACATGGGAGCTAGGGGTGCCTAACCCCTATACCCAAAAACTTTGGCTTATGAACACAAAGAAAATGACCTAAATATAAGTAATTAATGACCAAAAGAATATATATATATATATATATATATATATATATATATATATATATATATATATACACCTGGGTGAAGCTCGCATGTAAAAGACTACAAACGGATAAATTAGCTTAAGTCCTTTATAATTGACCGACTCAAGTCTAGAAAGTATTATCATAGAAAATCGAACTCAAAACCTTTTGGTTATCAAACGTAGTGTGCGATCAACGGCTAGGGGTTGGCATTACGATAGTTTAAAACTTAATTGATCAATTAATAAGGTTATATGATTGCATTAATTTATTAATTTTGTAGTTGAGCATGGCTCTATTTATATATAATAACTTAATTATTAATTTAATATAGTGGCATGGTTATATTAGTCATGCTTTGCCGTTACTTACGCCATATTTTAGTGTAGGCATAATTAATTAAGAAAAGTAGAGTGGGCAACGTACGGTACCACACTACCCCGTTAATCGTTCCGTTTCTTGTTTATTTGTGTGCTTTTGCAGAAGTCTATGTCACTATTTCAATCTTCTCCAACTTAATCCCAAGTGCTCCCCACACCCAAATTCGATTGAGCATTTAGAAAGATATAAATTATGGTGATTTAATGGCTCAACGGACATGACCAAATATCGGTGTGCATAAAGGATCTGTCCATTTTGGACAAATTCCCACATTGCCCCTGTCGAGGTTTGAATCTTGGTCTCTTCTCCCAAAGACTGTCATTATTTCAATCTTTATACGATGGATCAAGGTTCACTGTGCACTGTGGACCCTGGTGTATGTGTATGTGTCTTATGTTGTGAGTTTTTGTGTCTTGTGTTATAAAATTTTGTACCTTATTTCTATACCGAAAAAAATTAGTAATTGTGTCTTATGTTTTTGAATTTTTGTGTCTTGTGTTGTGAAATTCTGTGTCTATGAACACAAATTATGTATCTAAATCAGATTTGAAAAATAATTAAATATATAACATGTGTATGTGTCTTGTATTATAAAATTAAGTACCTTATGAATATGAACTTTGTACCTCGTCGTTTCGATCCAGGGTCCATATTATTATATCGATCATGATCTATGATATAAATTGCCGCATTATTTATCTACAATAATAATGTTTTGTTTTATGGAATAAATAATGGACGGGGGACACCCGGCAATAATAATTATTTATGTACATTAGTTTAATCAATTGAAAACTCAAAAAGTCCTACTTTTTGCAAACTCTCAGCTTCCTTAAGATCTGCTAAATCATTACAGCGTTGCTCAATAGCATAGATGGAAGACAAAAGCTAATCCCAACATAATTAGATGGAAGACAAAAGCTATTCCCAACATAATTTTAGAACGGAAATTCTATTTGTACCACCTTTATTACTATTTGCATAATTCTTTGATAGGTGTTTTAACTTTTTAAGTGGTATAAATAGAATAATTTGCTATTTGCACCACCTTCATTAAAGTTAATCAAACATTAC